ACACGTTACCTTTTAACGTGTGATTCCTAGTGTACTTACAGAAGACGCATATTCGGTCACGTAGAATATAGATTCAGAACCTAGCAGCTTTCTCATTGATTCTGTCATAGCATTTGTGGCATCAAACTTTCTTGATACCATTTGTGTTAATAAGGTTCTCAAACACACCAATCATCAGCAACTTAACTAAGTAAAATAGTTCTTTACCAATGTCAATCCTGTTTGAAGTGTGAAGAGTCATGATTTTTGAATTTATTCTTCCCTAAAAATCCTAAAAGGCAAACTGGGATAGATTCACGCTTCAATAGAAACACTCAAGCCAAAAAAGCACATTTTGGGATTTACGACTCGAAACAGGTACAAGAATCCATTTTTTCTTTTTTCAGACATTTTTCTGCCTTTCGTTTTTTGATTTCTCAACAATCTGAAAATACGGAATTTGTCTTCTTAGCATTCCTTTATTTTTTGATTGAGTTTATCACTTGCGTAACCAAACCATGCTTGTTTTTACGTCAAAGCGATGACGCAACTTCAACTGACGGGAAACAATATTTTCAAACAACAGCCTGTTAAGAATATGACAAGTTCGATATCGATTTTTTTATTATTGGGTGTTCGTTTACGTCAGAAATCTGCCCAAGAGCACCATTTGAATTGATTGTCAGTCGTCGCTAAGACTTCGACATCTAAACTTCGTCCTCATAGTCAACGCACATACCACTGATGATGAGTGTAGGGGACGAAACTCTCGACCATGACCTACCAGCCTAAACTTTGTTTTCTCTAATCATGACTCTGGCCCGTGAAACCTATGTTCATAACAATTTATGTCGACAAATTACGTTTTGCACGTAAACATCCACCCTGTAGAAATTCAAACCTATATTGAATGTCATTTATGAAATCACCCTAATATGGAATGTAATGTACGCAAAAAGGATGTAGTGATTGAAATCTTGTGATGGAGATAATGAAAATTCAAAATCTCAACACGATGAGCTGAATTATAAGTAGACTCTCCAAGGCAGTCAGTTGCAGAACCAATAAACATCAACCTTCGAACGAGAATCGTCCTCTGTCTTTCGCTGTAGCCTTCACTGCATGGCAACTAGTTGAAACCAGAGCTCCATGAAAGTAGTGCATTCGTGGTTCAGCTCAACACCACTGATAGGACTTCACGGGATCGAAACAGCGTTGCCTGATGGTGGGTCATGAATGATTTATTTTTGAGCTTTCATCTAGTTGCCGTGTAGTGGAAGCCATAGATGAAGAAAGAAGTTGAATCTTATTGAGAGGTCGATGTTGAAGTTTCACTTTTAAAGTGACCGCCTCGTTTATCGTTGACATTCATGAATTGAGTCTCATAGATATCGTCTTCGTGAGGGGGATATCATCACCATTATTTACTCAGGATCCTTTGAAAATAGTTATGTCCAACAGTACATTCGTGATTCAACCTAACACTATTGATGAGACCTAAGGCTGGTTGGTTGCGTTGGTTTTGTAATATCATTTCGAATTATTAACTATATTGCATGTTCTCCATAGAAAACTATAAGAATGGAGTAATAAATAATAATAACAATGATGAATGTCTCCAATTCTTTATCAATAATGCGTAATACAAATGACAATCTTCATTGACGAATTGAAAATATAGGGTCTTCCAACAGGGTCTTCCGAACTTTGACGAATTATAAGTGCTATCTTGTTAAAGCTACATCTATCAAATTAGTTGTCATTCGTTTTCCATGGACGGATATAGCATTGAACAATACGTGTAAATAATAAAATTGTTTTATCAAAATGGGTGTTCAGTCCGGGCAACGCACCGCGCGCTTTACCCATGTTACGGTAGCCATATTTGTCCTACCGAGGGGACTATTGGCAATGTGATGGATAGATTTGAGCCCATTGGTTCAGTAAACCATCCACCAATACCTGCATGTCGACGAAACGTAGGAGCTACAAAAACGTCACCGTTGTCTGTGAGAGTGTGCAGGAGAATCAAAGGCAGTCGATTTTTCGTCACTCACAACAACTCGGCCTTTCGCAGACAACTTGGCGAATTTTGTGTCGTGATTTGGGCACCCACACAAAATTCCGCTGACCCAGGAACTGAAGGTAAACGACCATAAACAACGAAGTATGCACGTTGAATGGGCTCTGGAACAGTTGGCAACTGACCCTAATTTTCATAGAAAAATAGGATCCTTTGAAAATAGTTATGTCCAACAGTACATTCGTGATTCAACCTAACACTATTGATGAGACCTAAGGCTGGTTGGTTGCGTTGGTTTTGTAATATCATTTCGAATTATTAACTATATTGCATTTTCTCCATAGAAAACTATAAGAATGGAGTAATAAATAATAATAACAATGACGAATGTTTCCAATTCTTTTATCAATAATGCGTAATACAAATGACAATCTTCATTGACGAATTGAAAATATAGGGTCTTCCAACGGGGTCTTCCGAACTTTGACGAATTATAAGTGCTATCTTGTTAAAGCTACATCTATCAAATTAGTTGTCATTCGTTCTCCATGGACGGATATAGCATTGAACAATACGTGTAAATAATAAAATTGTTTTATCAAAATGGGTGTTCAGTCCGGGCAACGTACCGTGCGCTCTACCCATGTTACGGTCGCCACCAGGAACTGAAGGTAAACGACCATAAACAACGAAGTATGCACGTTGAATGGGCTCTGGAACAGTTGGCAACTGACCCTAATTTTCATAGAAAAATCATCTTCAGCAATGAGGCCCACTTCTGAATGTATTGGTACGTGAACAAGCAAGATTGTCGAATTTGGGACGATACCAATCCACATGAGATTCAAAAGTGTCCAATGCATACCGAAAAGTCACTGTTTGATGTGGATTTAGGGCTGGCGGCATCATCGGTCCATATTTCTTCGAGAACGATGTTGGCCAGGCCATCACTGTCAATGGCGAGTACTGTAAGACGATGATTACCAAAACTTTTTTGGCCTGAATTTGATGATCTGGACTTCCCCACGCCCCCTTCCGGGTTGAGTGCCCTGAGTTGAAACCTTGCCGACACGGTTACTGTGTGCAGAGTATCCCATCTCGTCCATCCACACCCGCTCCTCCGGAGCGCTCCTCAATTTACTGATAGGCACTTCAGCAAGATTGACATCTGTCCTCTTTCAGTCGAAAGTCAACCTTTAGGTGCTTTCACTTTCTAATGTAATGTTTTCTTTCATCGTCACTTTTCTAACTGAATTTTTGCATGGGGTCCCCAAAAAAGTAACCTGAGACTAGTGTCTATTTGTCGCGAGCAAGTGTTGTTTTTCAGTGAATCTGAAAATGAAGTGAATTTGAAATCTGGTTGAGAATTTTTTATACTTACCGCAGCCGCCTGATAGCGACTCTCGGGGGTGGTTTCTGGTTCTGCTACGTTGGCCTCTTGTGTTTGCACCTCTCTCGGAATCTGGGGTCATCCCTGTTTAGCGCATTATGTAGATCGCTTAGCGCTGTATTGTTGTGCGCTCGAATTCTGGATCTGGACACCAACGACATGTGGTTTCAACAGGACGGCGCTACGTGCCAACACAGCTCATGCCACATTGGGTATTCTGCACGAGCGATTCAGGGTTATGGTCATCTGACGTAGAGGTGAGGTGAACTGACCACCGAGATCGTGCGATTTGACCCCGTTAGACTTCTTCTTGTGGGTTTTTCTTGAGTCGTAGGTGTATGTGAATAAGCCACAAATCACAGAGGTTCTCAAGGCTAACAATCCTACGCCATCGATCAAATTTAGCCTGCTTCATGCGCCAGAGTCTTGGAAAATTGGACGTTTCGGATGCGCTCCACTCAGAGATGCCGTTATATTCCACGCATTATGGCATCAATAGTTCTTCCACAGGAATAACATGTTGATATCTCACAATCACTTTTTTTCCTTACAACATTGCTGTTGAACAAGATCAAAGCAGTTTCAGTACGTGCTGCTGCATATTCATTGCGGTGATTTTTGTAAAGGTAATCCGCAAACTCCTGGTTTGCGTCTTGGCAATTGCTGCATAAGTTACCTTGGCGAAATTACCCAGCCAGTGGAGCCAGTGGAGCCAGTGGAGCCAGTGGAGCCCTTGGCTGATGTATAGCAGTCTTCAATACCTGCCATCTGCAGTGGTTTCTTGGGAACGGGGGCAGACACGATATCAGTACCACGGGAAGCTGGGATGAGACGTTCAGTTACAGACCGGTGACTTTGCAAGGCACTCTGTGTGGTTGACCGATTTTGTCACCCCAGTAACCTCTACGGACTGGTACGACAGAAATCTTGGCTAAGATGATGGCTCTGCGGATAGCAGTGGCAACTTCTTTGGTGCACTTCACCCCGAAACCAATGTGGCCTTTGCTATCACCGATAGCTACGAAAGCTTTGAAACAAGTGCGTTGACCAGCACGATTCTGTTTCTGAATAGGATTGATTTTCAAAACCTCATCATTTAGTTCTGAGCCAATGAAGAAATCGATGATTTCATACTTCCTGATTGGCAAAGAAAACAGGTAGATCTCCTCCAAAAAGCGGATCTTACCATCTTTTACCAACCATCCTAGCTTAGTTACAGGTACACATTCCTTCTGATCTTCCTTTCCGCGACCATGGCCTCTACCGTGCCCACGGCCACGACCTCTGGGGCCCCATGGGCCACCTCCTCTACCACTATTACCGAATCCACCACGGAAACCACAACAACCACCGTGGCGGTTTCCGTGGTGTGTAATTGTATAATTCTTCTTCCAACATTGTTGTCGAACCTTTGTTTCATTTAAATTCAAAGATAGGAACCACTTAATGAAATACCCTATATAAACACTTGGTGAAAAAATAAATCAGAACGTGGATATGTATGAAATATACAAAATATGGACAAACAAATGTCCAACATATTATAAGGTACAAATATATACAAATATACACTGATATCCACACTAACATTTTTACTATTGTTTGCAGATGTTGCTGTCATAACATCGAATTTCTCCACTTTTGCTGGAGTCCTATCAGGTATAGCCATTTTGTCTGGTCTTATATGTTTCGTGCTTCATTTATTCAATCAGAATTTGTATGGATCACATCACAGACGTCACAGATTTGGTAATGCTAATTTGGCCCCACCAATAATCTACTCGAGCGATCCAGGTAAGGTTTATATAAAATTAATCCTTTTACTGAGATGGTCCTGGGATGCGAGGAACTATTTTGATGATTTTCTTTGGAAATCAGACAATAAGTGCTGTGACTGGTACTATTTTTTAATATAGAATGAATAAAATAACTTTTGTCTAATTTCTACTTAGATTTTTAGTTGTTTTGATCGGTTCCACTTTATTAAACCAGTGTCAAGTAAACTGGTAACGTTCGACTATTTTTTTGATTCGAAAAGGAACGTTTTAAAAAGGGATTAGCTTTAGGGAAAAAAAGCATGTTGTCTTTCTACTTTTCCATTTTAAAATGAAATGAAACCTCCGAAATGACGAAAAAATTAATTAACTTCTAAAATAAACTATTTTATTTAATGTGTGAATCAAGCATATAATTTTCATTGATAATGCACTAGAATTACACGAAAAAAATTTTTTTTTAAACAATTACTTCCATATGTATATACAAAAGTCACTTTTTTCTATTCAGTTTGTACTCCAAACATTTGAAAATGAAATTGAACTAGGAACGCTACACAACGTTATACGCTATCTGACCCAGAGTACAATCACCGTATGACACTGTCAACATTTCCAGTATTTTTTTGTTTGGCTTGTATGTGATGTTGATGTTCAGGGGTTTGAAGATGTTTGTTAGTTTTTTGGTTTGGTGTCCTACGTATGTGAATGCTGTCCATCGTGTTATTTTATCTATTGGAGTGATTTGATCCTTGTTCTGTATTTTTTCTAACTTATCTATTGTCTTTTGGGTGTATCCGTTCTCGTTCGCTATTTGATATATGATTTTCCGTTCTTTGTTCTGGGCTTCATCGCTAATTGTTATCCTTAACATTTTGTATATGGATGCATTATAGGCAGCCATTTTGTGTGATGGTGGATGGTTTGAACTTGCGGGTATGGTGGAGTTTGTTCGTGTTGGTTTCCTGTATATTGTCATTTGAAATTGTGTTTTATTGTGGTTATATTCGATGGTTATATCCAGGTAGGTAAGTTTCGAGTTGTTTTCTTCCTCTATGCTGAAAATCAGTTTTTCATTTATTTCGTTAATTTCCTTTGTTATTTTATCTATTCTTATTCCATTTTTTCGTGATATGTACAGTCCATCATCAACGTATCTGAACCATTATTCTTTTCATCATGTGTTTTTATTATTGTTAACATTTTCTCATCTATGGTTTGCAGGTATATTTCGGATATAATGCTAGATAGTGGGGCTCCCATCGCTAGTCCATCTGTTTGTTAATTTATTAACAAATAAAGCTTCAAATCCTTCTCGTAACTTATAGTAATATTAATGTTAATATATATAATATAATATAATGTTAATAAATAAATTAAAAATTTTCAACTTATTGTTTGAAATTCAAATTCAAAAGAAAATCATTGAAAAGTGATAACCAAACGAGCAAATGTTTTTTGTTGATTCGTCCAAATTGTCTCACGCTATTGGTTAATTTTTTGTTCTGACTAGTTTTCAAACTTTCATAAATTCATAGATTCTTTGTCAATGGACAAAAAACATTTCTCAGGTTTGGACCATGTGATCTCTATGTTTATGGTCGGTTGTCTATTTGATGTTTACACTGTGTACTCTCAAGAACACACATTTGATAAAAAATTAGATGATCAATGTGCACGACTTTATTGGCATAATAATGGACAGAAACAAGTATGAAATGAAAATTATTCTACATCGCTACTCGTTAATTGTATGAATATAAAGGATGAGTTGGAATGGGATGAGCCGATGAAATTCATAAGTATGTTTACCAACTTGAGGTAAAAGGAACTATGAAGTTTGAAAAGACGTGATATTCCTGAAGTTATGAAAGTAACAAATGATGTTGGTGATATCTATTTCCACTTTATAAATACATATCATTTTTGTCAAGAATAGTATAAATTTTTCTTTCTAATCTTGTTGTTTTTCTTGTCAACTAACACAATTCTTCAACATACAGTGTAGAAAATATAAAATTTGAAACAATAACTCTTTATGAACTATCGTCAATATTTTGTCAAATTGTCATTAGAAAAATATCTCATACAATTTTATTACTATTTATTGAATTTGATTTTACTACTAGCGTAATGATTTATTTGTCAATTTTGCCAAATAATACTTTTATTCGGAAACAAAAATTAACATTAGGTATCTGTTCAAATTTACTTCTTCCCAAATAGCATGTTTTTCCGTTCAATTTCAACGTTATTGTTCATTATTTGGAACATTATTTGGATGAAAATGATTAGGTAATAAACTTGTATTGTTTATTTTTGTAAGACATATCTGCTTTTTCTCCGGAAAAAACTTGAGTTTCTATATCTTGATGTATATCAATAGTCGATAATATCTTTTGTTGTTTTGGCCAGTCGATGGATAGAAAAATAATTTCTCTTAAGTTGAAACTATGAAAGCGTAGTTTCTGTGATGAAATAATCATGTTCTCACGCAGAATATTGATATTTGCGCTATGAATATCATTTCTTTTCAAATGCTAGTTTATCAGAACAATTCAAACTTGTATCTCCTAGAGTTTGACGATCTCATTATAACTCACCCTGTATATACACCTTATTGACGCAAGCCAAAAAATTACCGGCGAGGATTGTTCCAGGCTTACCCTTGCCTATCATCGACCGCAGCGAGACGTCGAGAGCGTCTAGTCGCCGAACGTTCGCTAGCATTCAGTCGCGGAGGGCTAGTAGTGCCCCAGGGTTCCGTGCTGGGGCCGTCCATTCAGTAGCCGCTTCACGTGCAGGTGCGGCCCGCACCGCCGCCATCTTGCTGCTCTCCTATTGTCACGTGCCCCCTCTAGAAGTCGCGAAAATACATGATACCAAAATCATTCCTGGTATAGCAGATTCTGAATTTAGTTTCTGAGTGTGGATAGACTATGGAACTCATCGATTGTTCTGGCATACTCATTATTGATAAATTTTCAGCTTTTTCTAGTGACCACAATGGCACTATATAATGTCAATTACAAATAACAGAAAATATATTATTGAAACTACGGGATCATCGGGATCAAAAAGATTATTATTATTTCATGAAAAGGTGAAAACAACTTGAAATAACCTAGATGAATTCTCAAAAGAGTACTGATAGAACATTTTTGTAAACTCAAATTTATAATTGGTGCGAAAGTTTGAACTGTAGTTATGGAGGGGCTCAACTGAATACAGCTACGGTTAATGGAAGTAACAAACAAATATTCTGAAGTGAATCACTGGTTTCACACATATTCTAAGGGGTCATACTTGAAGAGATACATAATTGAAAATCGAATTCCTTTCAGAGTATTATTCCTCGAACAAAGATGAAGCGAGCGAAAATATTTTTCATCGCTCCATCTGCCCGTGAACGAGGTAACCAACCGCATATACGAATCGTCCGATAACTCGTTTATGGAAAAGAAGCACTTCACATATAGTAAGGGTGCATACTCGAAGACTGTTAAATCAAATTATCTGAAAGAACAATTCGTTCAGGTCAGTCGCAACTCACCTACACTGTCCATCATCAACATGAAGTCGGATATGCGGTTGGTTACATCGTTCACGGGCAGATGGGGCGATGACAAATACGTTGTTTGTCATTCATCGACTCCATGTTGATGCACTACCTTGCACTGAAGAGTAGCCAAATAGCCCGAAACTGGCCTGCAAGTGTATTCTGATAATTGAAATTTGATTTCGATAGTTGTATCGTCAACACCATATGCAGGAATTTCTTCTATGGAGAATCCTACATTGACATCTGTCGGATATTAGCCAGGGGAATAGTTGTTTTCTGATAGGGCTGTTGAGATTGGCCTGAACGAATTGTTCTCTAAGATTATTAAATCACTGATGGATTACTCAATGGCATTTTCTCTTTGGGTACTCTTCTCGTATTCAATCAAGATTTTCTAGGGTATAGAAGATGATTCAGTTTTTAATTCATACTTCGATGGTGTGGCTTATCGGATAGTCTCTATTTTCTCTGTTTCTGTAAGAACAGTTCAGTTGTTGAATTCATTCAGAAATTGGACTGAACCTCGCTCTCCATTTAAGAATAAACCTAAGAATATCAACTTCCGTATATATTTATTCAATCCTGTTTTTAAATAATAAAGACTTGTTGTATTATTATTATTATTGAAAACTTCTTGAGGTTATTTGTTGGTCAGGAGTAAATATTACTGGAGTTTTTTTCAACACCAAACCGTTATTTTAACACCTTGACACGTGTTTTGATCACCAAGTGATCATCTTCAAGAGGAAATTCAAACTGTTGATCCTTCTCTTGAAGATGATCACTTGGTGATCGAAACACGTGTCGAGCTGTTAGAATAACGGTTTGGTGTTGGGAAAAAACTTCAGTAATATTCATTACTACAACAAAGGTTTCAAACAGTGCATCACATGGTCAGGAGTAATTTATTTATTCCTTAAGAAAAATCATTTGCTCTGACTAAATATGATTTTCTTGTGGTAGTCATTGGATCTGATATCTCTAGGTGAATTAAAGGAAAAATTTTTGATGCAAGATAGATGCCGAACTAGATCAATGATTGATGGGTTCCATAGTATTCCGCTGCATTTTTGTTCAGTTTTGTTTCATTGAAACTCTTGGTGTACATCCATTATCAACACTACAGCAGATATTGACGAAATTTATCAAAATTGGTGATCGAAAAGAGAAGAAACAAACTAGAACGAACAGTATATACTGAATTGAATATAACAGGGAATAATTTGCTTGTATTGAATCAATTGTAATTGACTTGCCCCAAATTATAGATTTTATACTATATATTTGGAGGATTGATCCTATTTGGAGTGAATTGTCAAATTGAGAACAAAGTTTTTGCACTTGCACTAGCCCCAAAGTCTTTTATCAATTTCAAGTTATATTCGAATTATATATATTTGCGAATTACTTCTTTAAAACGATCATTTCGTTGGTGTTCTTTCTGGCTCGTAACCAGAGATATCGATCTAACTCATCATATCACTTCAGTTTCATCACATTTTTTTATTCGAAGAACCCTCTATCTGTATTTTTCTATATTAACCACTGTCACCACTAATAAATAGTTATGCAGCACGGAGAAAGCAAGATGGCAAAGGTGAAGACGGCTTTTTTGCGTTAATTTTTGATAATGCATTTTGTTTACACAGAGTATTTTTACAATGAATCACTGTAGAAATTCTATGACAAATGTATAAAGGTAATATAATTCGGAAAACAACTAATACAGACATTGGCACTCCACACAATGCATGTTATGTGTATACGCTTATAAGTGGTAGCAGATTCGACAAATCTGTTCAACGAATAATTTTTTTTATTTGTCTTTGTCGAGTCTGAATTTGGCATGCAAGACTGGCATGCAACTTGTGGGAAAACAGTATTGCAATTATTTCCACCAAAAGAAGAAGTTATACTGTTTCTTAAAGTCAACCATATAATATGTGGTAATCAAAATAGATATGGTGAGCTACCCTTGAAAGATAGACATATGACATCGGGGACTTTTTTGTAGACCTATAGAAAAGAGTAATATGTAGTAAATTGTTTTGGCAAGTGTTTTGGGATTGAGCAGTGTTTTTGATGATAGCCGGTACTGGTAGCATCACTGCTACAATTTCTAACTGATAATATTGTTATACATCAATTAATTCACAGAAAAATTTGCAAAATTATACACATACCACTTCATCTTGAATTATTTCGTTTTATGCTGAAAATCGTATGAAAATTCGTTGTTTTTGAGCTTATCGCGTACAGACAGATATACGACGGGCGTACTTTGTTTCATAATATCCATAGATGAATTGAATGCTGTGTGAAAGCTATTTTCTGGGTGGTTTTTTGGACGTGGTCTGCAGGTTTTCATACGTCTGACGTTTTTTCTACTGCTGTGGTAGACATTATCAAGAAGATGTGGTAACGGTCGCAGAAGACTGAGATGGTCCTTTCCACCAGGAAAATAAGTTTATCGGGCTTGAAACCTCCCGAAATCTTCAAAAGCAAACTGAACTTCTCTGAAGAGGTGAAACATCTGGGTACTATCCTCGACAGGAAGCTAACATGTAACTCTCACCTACAGAGTAGAGCAAAGAGAGCATATGTGGCTTATTAGCAATGTCGGAGGACAGTGGGATGCGCATGGGGTCTTCCACCCCGTGTGGTCACCTGGATCTACACTGCAATAATAAGATCTATGTTTACGTACGGAGTCATTGCATGGGGACCGAAAGTTCTATAAGCAACGGCCATCCAAGAATTATATCAAATACAGCGACTGGCTTGTTTAAACATCACAGGAGCCATGAGAACAACACCAACCGCGGTAACGGAATAATTACGGGTCTGACCCCTCTGGACCTGTACGTTAACGAGGTTGCCTCAATGGCCATGCTACGATTGCGCACGGCTGGTGTAAACCTCGAAGTAGGTATGGGTCAATTGAGGCTGAGCCTATGGCGAGAAGCGTTTACTGCGCAACCTCTGTTGCAGGCAACCAATGATGAATTGAACCCAGGTTTGTGTTTAATAAACCCTACAAAATACAAATAAAACGCAACACAAAGTCAGATGCTACAAATTAATACGCATATATACAGACGACTCAAAAACCAAAGAGGGCTCAGGATGTGGAGTGTACTCCAGATCACTAAGCCTAAGGATTAAGTGGTGGATGGGAAAAAATACCAGCGTGGTCCAAACAGAACTGGCTGGTATCTCAATCGCCACAAAAGAAATAACTGAGAAAGGAATTTCGTGCATAAACATAACAATCTGCACTGACAGCAGACAACCCCTATTAGCCTTGAACAGACAACGTGTTACCTCAGGGCTCGTACTAGAGTGCCACCAAGATTTAGTCAAAGCCTCAGTGGGTTAAAGGGTACGACAGGAGTAAAGGTAATCGTATTGCGGACTCTTCAGCCAAAGAAGCGGCTGGACTAAGAATTTTAGGACCCAGTGGCACCTACGGCCTGATGACTTCGACAATTGCAGAACTAGCCAAACGTCACACCCATGCTCAATCCCTCAAGAGATGGGATCCCTAAAGGATGCAATCTTGCCAGGATCACCGTAGGCGACCCTGGAAAGCTGGTGCCGAAGAAATATCTGGCGATGACCAAGAAAAATCTACGCCTAGCAGTAGGATTTCTGACTGACCACTGTCAATTAAGGAAACACCTCCATAATATGGGGCTAGTGGACACACCTTTATACAGGATGTGTGAACAGCAAGATGAGACTGTCAGACATGTCCTATGCGAGTGCCCGGAGTTATCGTTAATATAAAGGAGATGTCTCCCAGTGACCTGTCCACCTTCCTGGAAAGGACAGGATGGACGATGACCTAGGAGGACAACTCCACGGGAGGATGTACAATGGGTCTCATGTGGTTTAAGTGCTGTGGGCTCACACTCCCCCTTCCTACTTTACAGATACAGAGATACAGAATGGTCGCAGTGCCCGAGTTGGTGATCGAGTTGTTTCCGTTCCGAACGTGATAACTACGTTGCTGGTATTTTACTCTGGTTTTATATTAGCATCAGTATGCGTTGCTTGGTATCTTTCAATTCGATTACCTGACCTTGTGTATGTACCTGTGAGGAGAGGTAGCTAGATTTCATTGATGTTCATTTCCTCTTCTTTTCTATTGAAATCATCCCTGTATTTTTCAATTGCTACTACTATTATATATGAGGCTGTTGACTCCCTTGCAAAGAAGGGTGCTGCAAGCAGCTTCATCGAACGAGAACCTGTCATTGTCATCGCTTTAGGCTTTGCCAAACAAACATCGAACACCTGGATAGCAAGAAGATTCATGGACTTCTGGCAGAATCTTTCAGGATTGGCTCAATTCAAGACGTTTATTCACCCTTTGGAGCTCGACACCAAACAGTTGTTGGACTATAACAGGGATAAACTACGATGTCTAACAGGCCTTCTCACATGTTACTGTCATTTGAATCATCAAATGCAGAGCGGGTCCTGCCCCGCTGGGAACCGAATCAGGTTTTCAGAGTTTGGCAGAACCTTACTCTTACCATCTGACCTGAAAAACAGTCACCATACAAACTAACCGGCTTCGTAAAGAAGCTGGTCTATTTGTTCGAGTTTAAATAGGTGTGTGCCACTACAAATCCTTGCAGGTTGCGGTGGAGGGTCGAATAGACCCACTAACTTTTGAAGTAACCTAACCATTACATATTATACTCTTGGTTAGTAATTTTGAGTTTTATCGAGTATCACTGGATCTTCAAATGAGATAATGTCAGTGCCTTTTATATTGAGAGCATGTTCGGCTAGAGCTGATTTGTCGGTTTGTCCAAGTCAACAATTTCTCTTGTATTCAGATAGACGGATACCTACACTTTTTTTCGCGGTTTCAATGTAGACCGACCCGCAGCTACAAGGAATCCAGTAAACTCGGAGTATTGCTAAAGGTTCGTCTGTTAGTTTTTATTGGCCTAATAATCAGTTTCACGTCGTGTTTTTCTAAAATTATCCACACGTGGTCTGTAACATTTTTAACATCAAGAAAGGGTTTAACATCCATATTTTGAAAATTTCTCTTCACAATCTTGCCATATCATGAGCATGTCATCAACATAGCGCAGCCAAAAACAACTGCGTTCGGAACGGAAACAACTCGAGCACCAAATCGAGTACTGCGACCGTTACCACATCACTTCTGATAATATCTAGCGCAGTAGTAGACGAAACGTCAGACATAAAAACCTGCAGGCTACGGCCAAAAAACTCGGTAAATATTTTTCACACTGTTATCTCCTGGCATGAAACTTTATATCCATTGGTTGAATGCTGTTTGGGAAATTTATTGAGGAATGGTGGAGGTACTATAAAAGGTGCATGAATAATTAGGAGTTGCGAGATATGAAACAACTATTTGGATAAAACAATAATGAGACAAACATTTTTTATTCATTGCTGTCCTGGAAGTTAGTGATGAATGAATCAGAATCCTCAATAGAGGAGGTGAAGGCAGCCTATACAAATACGACAACTATCTTCCCTGTAACATTGGATGAAGAGCAAGAGCTTCTCTTGCAGCAATGACGGAATATTTTTCTGACATGCATCACATGAACCCAACACCTACCTGACGATCAAGTCCTCACTAGATTGAGGAAAAATGTGCCGCAGTCTATCAACCTTGAAAGAGATTTTCTTTCACAAGGAAACTCAGGATCCAGTAGCAGAGCACATACATTGTGCTCTGCTACTGATCTCTCTTGCCGCAGACGGATCAGGTTTTTAGCGTTTGGTAGAGTCACACTTTCGCTATCTGATCTAAAAGGTTGAGTAGCCGCCTTCTTTAAGTACATGGATTCATTCAGTGTAGTTTGAATAGGAGTGAAACGCAATAAACCCTTGCGTGTTGTTGTGAAGAGTCGAATTGATTAACTAATCTCAGATATTTTCTATCACGCCTAGTAGTAAGTAATTTACTTTCAGTGGGCTATGTTACTGATCAATAATGATGTATAGGGTCTTTCACGACGATCTTTCGTTAGGAATATATGGAGAACGATTCAAAATAAAAACTTGAAATTTTGTGGTAGTGGGTTTTACAAAATGGCTTTCTCAACTAAAACATTTTCAACTTCGGGTCTCTTTCCGTTATACCGGAAGTTGAGGGCAACTTCCTTATTTCAAATGAAACCCCCTGTATTTTATCACATTTTTTAATTTTTCAGCTTTGTGAAACAATGCCTTTACCGAAATTCGTTAGTTTCCGAGACATTAATTTTTTTCTGAAAAATTTGACAGTTACAGCACCACATCGAAAAAATCATAACTCATAGACAGTAACAGTTGAAAATGTGAAATTTCACAGAATCACACACAGGTCCATCTAATTTTCGAAAATAATTTACAGGGTGGTCGAAATTCCCAACTAAAACATCGAGAAAACTTATGAAACACGATTTTTTCAAATGGAATCCATACACCATTCTATTATTTTTGTATACTACGAAAAAAAAAATCAAATTCATGAAGAATGCCCTATACCTAAAATACACCTGTGGCAAGATATATCCAATTTTGGGAAATATTTGAAATGTGAATCATTCGAAGCAATAACAAGCCAAGAAAGCTTTGAAAACAAATGAACTAATATTAACCCTGTCGTTAGTAAAATGTAACTCAACGTGAAAATGGATGGATTGAAATAAAATATTATCAGAGAGATGAATTATATCTTTTTTTTAAGTTAGATTTTACTTTAATTTTAGAATTCAACTTAATTTCTTTAAATTCATATAATATTGTGATTCATTTCAACAGATGTTCAAAGACATTGCCGTTTTGTTCTAAACAAGAATATATTCTTTTTTGCATACCACTATTTGTAACTTTCTGTATGGAGTCAGGAATCACAGGATCCGCATAAACATTTTCTTTGATATATCCCCAGATNTCATTTTTTTAGAGGTTAGTTAATACATATTTTATGAAATTGTGATTAGCAGCAACTATGCCTATAATTCATAACATTATTGCCAAAACCACATTTATGAATTAATAATGAAGAGCTTTATTTTCAGGAGTCTCTCAATAATCCTATTTCATATAACTCAACTTGATAGCTATAACTGTGATGCCAAATTTTTGAGAAACATTAAAACTTGTTCCTACAAGTTGAATTCATTACCTAATGCCTCCGCATGACCTGCATGACATGTAAAGATACGAGAAAGATGAAGATTTTCATGTAGACAAATCATACTTTTTCAGTTAAGGTTCCAGCACACTTTCATCTCTCTCTCTCTCCTAAAAATCTACAAACACCCAAGAGTTATTCGTTGTGGTTGAGATAAAATATTTCTCAACCGTTTTAGGTTCAAGACGCCCCAGCATAGCCTCAGTTCACAGCATGAACTCTATAAGAAGCTACAGCGCCCGTCGCTACGAGAGAGAAAGACAGCAGAAGGAGGACAAGGAGTTGGAAAGGAGATATTCGAAGATGTCAGGTACAGGAACGAATTCAACGATGCGTATTGGGCCCACTCCAAGTCCCCACTCTACGGACGATCTCCTCCCAACTCTGGAGGAGGATAAGCAGGTAATGAAGAATGATGAATACTTTTTTCAATACTACACGAACAATTGATTTTTTCCACAATTTTTATTCATAACTGATTGAATAACACATGAAAAAATTCAAACAAAAATATAAGAGATATCACAGTTCAGTGATCGATAGATAATAGGAATATTACACAACACAACAAAAAAATATTTTTTGAATGTTTCCTACACTAAATTAGTCAATTTCTACTAATTTTGGGGTGATAAAAACGAAAATAACAATGAAAGATTTTTATTAGCTCTGGTTTTTGAGATACACAGTACTTAATCTTAAAG